AGGCAGCAGCCCTGGCAAAGCCTCTGTTATTACTGGAGCGCCTGGGAATGTGCGGGGATATTTCGAGCGGGCCGCTGGCCGGCCTGGCCCAGCGGGAGCTCTGTTTAATCTCCCGGCAGATGTGTTTGACGGGATGTCAGCGCCGCTCGGAGCGGAGTAAATCCCGGCCGCGCACAGCCCACGGCAGCCGCCAGCCTTGCCCGTAAAAGGAGCCCGAGCGGGAGCCAGCGCTGCTCGCCCCATCCTCCCCGTGGGAGTTCGGGATGCACAGGGCTCCTTCAGGCTGGAAAAGCAAAGCTGAGCTGCTGCCAGCTGAGGAAACCCTTCCCATGCCCTGGGCTTTGATGCTTTGCCCTGTTAACGTGCGAGCCCCGCGGGTGGGATCTGCCCCCCACATCGGTCGGGGCTCGCCTTTGCGGTTGTTGTTGCCAAAGCGAGCCGGGGGTGAGTCAACGCGATAGGGATCTCGCTGACATCACGGAGATGCGGGATCCGCAGGGATGCGCTCCGGGGCTGGCGGCGGAGCCCGCCCGCCGTGCTCCGCTGCTCCCGGGGACGCCTCCTCCTCCAGCCCCGGGCGGGCAGGAGACTGATAGAACGCCTCAGAAAAGGCCTCCTCCTCCTTTCCTTCCCTCGGGAAATCACTGTACAGCTCGGCCCGGCCAGGCACGTGCAGCAGAAGGGCAGATTTTGGGGTGGAAATAGTCCCTGCGTGTGGGAGATGGGGTGTGGGGACTGGCAGAGCTCGGCCAGGCCGACCGGTACCTACTGGATTTTCTTGGTGAAGTTCTTGGAGACGATCCCTCCTTCCACCTGCTGCTCCTCGTGTTTGCCTGCAGGGAAGGCCAACACCCCACATCAGCACCTTACCAGATGACTTTTTCCCCCAACAAACAATAACAATTCAACCAAATAGAAAAGTTCTCCGAGCAGCTGTTTCTCTGCCCTGGTGCAAATTCTTTCTCTGGGGAGGGCTCAGGAAGCCTCTCCATGTGGAGAAAGAGATGCTACATACAGTACAGCCATATTTCCAGTGGAAAACCAGGGTCTCACAGGCTGCCAAGAGCTGGGGCTTAAGAAAATAAACAAATAATAAAACGATTGTAGGTGGCAGCGTCCCCCTTGGCCTCACTCCCCAGGATAGGTTCTTTTCTCCCCCTCTGTCAGGATGGGGGTCCCTGTACCTGAAGCATCAGCCAGAGGCTGCCTGGACCCCCCCCCCCCCCAGCCTGTGGCTTTCCCCCTGTGCTGCAGTGAGCTCCAAATAAACACTCAGGGCTGTGTTAGGTGGCAGCCCCCAGCCCCCCCGGTGATCCCAGCCCAGAGGACCAAGGCACAGTGGGGAGTGCCAGGCTGATGGGACACTGAGGGCAGTCGTGAGCACCCCAAAAGTGCTGGACCCCACACCCACTGTTCCTGAGATTAATTTACTTTTCAGGGACGTGTTTCTGGCTGACTCAGAGCCGAGCTGGGCTGGGGGCTGTGAGCAGCTGCTCCTTTCTTCCCAGCTTCTCCCTCGGCCCCTTTAAAGGGAATCTCCCTCCATGCCGACCTCACCCTGGCTATAATTAACCGAGCAGAGCTGGGGCCCCTCTTGGCCGCTCGCTGCAGGGTGCTGCCAGCCAGGGCAGAAAGCAAGGAGATTTACCCCAAAGGACACATGTCCTTCTCATTTTGGCAGCAAACCACCATGGCTTGTGAACCAGATCCCCCCGTGACCCCCAAACTACCCCTGGAGATGCCCCAAAGCCCTGCTGCAGCCCTCCCCTGCTGCAGAAGCGGGGGGTTCTGCCGCCGCCTTAAAACAAAGGCGATTTTGGCATTTTGCAGCAATTCCTCGAGCTGGCAGTGCCTCGGCTCTCACCTGACACCTCGACGTAGCCATCCTTGGTTTTGACCGTCAGCTCCTCGGGTTTGAAGCTGTGCACGTTGACACACACCTTCCAGGGCTCTCGGGGGAAGGGCGCGGGGCTGCGGCTCTCGGGGTACCCCCCGAAGTGGGTGCCGTAGGTGGGGGCCATGGGCGGCGAGCGGCCGAGCCCGGCACGCAGCGGGCCCGGCCAGGTGGTGGTGAGCCGGGGCCGAGCCCAGTCGGGCCAGTCCGCCGTCAGATCCCCGGGGAAGGGCGACAAGCCGAAGTCATCGTCCAGCAGACGCGAGGTCAGGCCGGGCTCCCGGAAAGGGTCGCGGAGGCTGCGCCTGCCGGGATAATGGCAGGAGAAGGGCATCTGGCTATCGGCCATGGCTTCCTTCGGAGGGCTCTGAGAGTGTCGCCGGGGCTCTCCAGCGGAGCCTCAGCCTCTGTGCGGCTGCTCCTGGCTGCAAACTTCCCCCGGGAGCCTGGCCCGGAGGAGACGCATCCACCCCGGGACGGTCCCTCCTGCCCGGCACCAGGTGAAGGACGATGAGAAAATCAATTCGGGCTGAATCACCGGGAGCTGGAGGAGCGCAGGAAGGACGGAGGGAGCTCTCTGGCCGCTAGAAAACGCTTCCTGTCTGGCTGCGATCCCAGGACTGGGGAGAGGAAAATAAAACTTCTTGTCAGGAGAGAGAAAAAAAAAATAAACCCAAATATCCTGAGATTAAAAAGCTTCTCTCTCACTTCTCACTCTCCAGCACTTTATGTGCAACTTTCCCTGCTGCTCCTGGATGAGAGCTGCAATAAATGCCTGAGCCTGGAGCCCAGAAACTTCTCTAACCTTCCAGCCGTTGGGCGAGTACTATTTATATGGATTTCGGAGGAGGGGGGTGTGTGTTTTGCAAGTCCTGCCCTGTCAGCCGAGTATTTTGGAGGAGATGAAACAGCCGTGGAGAATTTGGGCAGTGGCAGCTGACCTGTGCTGCTGGCCCGAGGATCCCGGCTGCCACGGGGCCGCGGCGCTCCGGCAGCTGCCCCAGCCCCTGCCGCCCCCTCCTGCTGCTCTGCCCGCCCGAAATAGCCCCCAAGCTCACTCGGGGCCGGCTGCTTCCAGCGCGGTGTCACCTGTTAAAAATACCGCGCTGGGGTGAGCAAGCTGCTCCCCTCACTGTAAAGGCACGTGTGGGGACACCGAGCACCGCTGTGCCGGGAAATGGGTCACTGGGGGCACCCCGGGGTGCCTGTGTGGGGCGTGTGGGGCGTGTGGGGCAGGGGGACAAATGAGCCGCTCCAGCGCTGCTTCTTTGGACACCTCCACCAGCTGGGCCCGGAGAAACATCCCCGAACCGCGGGGAGGAGAGGGACCCCGGGCAGCAGGCAGGACAGGGGCTCAGCACCTGCCTCCTTATCCTCCTCCTCCTCCGGGCCCCAGCGCACGGCCCGGCCCTGCCGCAATCGCGGTGCGGGCAGGGCGAGGCGTTAATCACAGCCGCGGCCGGGCCGGTAATTACAGGGCAGCGGCGGAGCGGGCTGAGCTGTGGGAAGGGGCGCGGCAGCAGCGCTGGAGGGGCAGCTCCCAGCGAGCATCACCGGGCACACGGCCCCGAGCCCGGCCACGGGCGGGGGCACGGCTGGCGGGGACGGGGTCCCCACGGGGGATGTCCAGGCACGGCTCCGGTGGGCAATGCTGGAGGATGGGATGTCATCAATGAGGGTGACGTTGGCTACGGAGCCACTTCCTCATGCCGCATCCTGGCTCTGCATCATGCTCCTTCTCTCCAGCATCTGCAATTTTTCTAATGGACTCTGTGGAAGTAATTGCAGCAGGAAGGGTTTAATGCAGCACAGGGATGCAGCCGCTGGTCACTCCGCGGCATTAATCACGGCAGCATCGCTGGGGACGGGGAGCTGCCTCTCCTTGGCTAGGGCAGGGCTGCCCCCCATGCACGGAGACACCTGGGCAGCACAGGGGTCTCCCTGGGGTCTGAAGGGATGCCTGGAGGTGCCCGAGAAGTGCCCCAGGAAGTTCCATCCTCCTGATGTAGGGAGGAAGCTGCTGGCGGAAGAACTGAGCATCCCCCTCCATTCCCTTGTCCTACCCGGCTGCCTCTGCCTTGCTGGGGGCTCCTGGTGCCTGTGGGTGACAGTACAGCGACAGTCCTGGGGGTCACTGCCACACACAGCCTGAGCTCAGCTGGACACATCTCAGCTTGGCCGAGGAGCAGGTGGTCGTGCCCCACCACCCAGCTCTGCCACCCCCATGGGCAAACAGGGTGAGGGAGACAAGCCCCGAGGAGGTTTCAGGCAGTCCCACGATCCTGCCGTGTTTCCAGGAGCCTCATAACATCCCCCATCCCACGTTTCCCACATAGCTCCAGGCCATCCTCCCTCCCCGGCCAGGAATTCTTTCTGTCGCCTTGTTCATCCCCATTAGTCACACGTCCCCTCCTCCCGCCTGCTCTCACCCTCTCTGGGCCATCCCAATTTAGCTCCTGTTGTCATTCCAATCCTCCCGGCTGCCTCCCACCGCCGAGCCACCCCACGCCATCAGCTCTGGGAAACGCGAAGTGCCCTTGCAGCCCCCCTTCTCCTCCGAGTGACCTGGGGATGCTGCCCCGTGTCCCCACGATCCACCTGTGCCACACCCAGACCTTTCCTGGGTGCCCATCTCAGCCCTGATGGGGACCATGGGGACATGTCCCAGGGCTGCTGCTCCCCTGGGGGGCTTCCAGGGTGCTGGAGAGTCCCCACTGCCCCGGCTCCTGCCGAGAAGGTGACAATGGCAGGACCCTGTGGCATGGGAACTCTGTGCAGGGCTTGGAGCAGCACAGGAAGGGAAGGGCACAGCCCCGAGGAGAGCACTGGTGAGCCCGTGTGACCTCCAGGGAGAGACGAGGCATTTCTGGCTTGGACTCCCAGTGCCTGAACAGGGTGGGGGAATCCAAAGGGCAGCAGGAGCCTGGCCCAGCAGGGAAAGCAGAGCTGCCAGAAATACTAGCCCACAACTTTTTTTGCTTCAGCCACTGCCCTGAGGAGCCAGTCCTGGGAGTGGAGGCACATGCCCTTCTCTGCAGAGCAGCTGAAACAACCCGAAATATCCCACCGCACACGCGTATCCAAAAGGAACATGATGCAAAGGAAATACTGTCCGAACCTTTATTGGAACCTTTTTCTAACCAGGCTAACAACTCAAACACCCAGGAAGACTAAAGGTACAGAACACATGTGGATGGAGAGCAAGGGGAGCTTTACAATGAACTCAAACAAACAGATGTGCCGGTGTCGTTGGGGGTGGAATCAACCAACAGGCAGAGAACAGAGACACCATTTCCCTCGTGGCTTTTCTCGTGTCTTGGCTTTTGTTCTACATCTCCTGCTCACTCCCTGGGTTTCAAAGGTGGAGAGCTGCCCTGGGCTGCCGAGGGTGTTGTTCTCTAGGCAATAGCCCAAAAGCTGGGGTGCTTCACTGTGACACTGTTGCTTTGGAGACCCTCCCAGTCATATGCAAACTGCCAGGTAGCAGCGAAGTCATGAGAATTATTTATTCTCTGGTGAAGAGGTAATAAAACCCCACTGCACACTGAAGGGCACCTGAACCTGTCCCTTTCTCAAACCAATACCCCAAAAGCCCGAGGCTGAGCACCCAGCAGCTCTGGGCCAGCTCTGTGGGAACAGCCCAGCGCTGCTGATGCTGGAGCTGTGTCCACACTCCCCCAGCACAGGCAGCTCTGCCCCAGGAGCACAAACACCTCCCCCGAAGTGGGCAGAGCAGTGGCTGTGGCCATGGTGGAGCGATGCTGGGGCAGGGTGGGATTTTTAGCACATCTCATGCTCTTCTCAAGGCTGGGGGTGATGCCTGCAGCAAGCTCTGCTTGTGCTACCTACTGAGCTCACATCAGGGAAAAGCTACTGGCACAAAGCCTGGGGAGGGGGCAAAGCAGGACATGGCACAAGGGTCTCAGGATGGGGCAGGGTGGACATCCTTGCTTCCTGGTGGAGACCACGGCCAGTCACTTCCATCCTATTCCCTTCCTCATCACTGATGCAAAGGGTGACAAGTGTCCCCTACCCAGAGGGGAGAGGGGACCAGCAGTAGGAGATCAGAGAACTCCAGGGATTTTTTGGTGATGGCAGCTCTATGCCACGTGGCAGAGGAAGAGGAGCAGGGTTATTCCTCCACCAGAACTGGCCCATCACCTCTGAATTCCCCACTCCTTTCCAGGGGGATGTGATCTGTCACCAGAAGCTGGTTCAAGGAGATGGAGAGTTTTCCCCTGCCTTGCCCATCTCCATCACAATGAGGTTCCTCTCTAAATACTGGTGGGGAGGTCCAAATGAGCCAAATTTGCCTTCCTCTGTCCAACATATCTGGCAACACTTCAAAGGCTCCTGCCTTCATGGACCCAACAGCATGACCCAAATAGCTTTTTTTAAAGTAATGCTCAATAAATAGAAGAAATAAATATTAAATAGAGGCCAAGTCCCCTCAGCCTGTTCGATATATGTACAATGCATAGCAAAATAACAGTGATTGGCTGTTGCAGACAAGTTTGGTACAAATTCAGTCCCCAAAACAACAAAAACATTGAGAAAATTGCAGTTAACATATAGCAAAGCTCAGCCGAGTGCTGCAACCAATGAAGAAAGAACAGAACAGTGCTTTGAAACATCCCTTATCTTTGCTTCCCAGCAAGGCTGCAGAAATGGTGTTGGATTTTCTGGAGCATGGGGTTGGGAGAGGTGGGACAAGCCTCCCTTGGGGGGACAAACCCAGAGGCAAGGCAGGTCCAGTGAATGGGGAGAGTTGATGACTCCAGGGTCAAGGAGACATTTGGAGTGAGTGCTGTGACGTGCTCTGCTGGGAAAGGCAGCAGGGGTGCTTTGTGGGATGATTCAAAATCATGGGTGGGAAAGAGCCTTCGAGTGCGAGACAGGGCTTTCAAAAAACAGCCAAGATATTATCCTGATGATAATATCCAGCCCTGAACACCCCTTGTGTGTCTGATCACAGCAGAGATTCACCAACACCAAAACGACCAAGCTGCCTTTCCTCCAGGTGAACCTGCTCTTTGCAGAGAGCACCTGCAGCAATCTGAGGTGTTGGATGCAGAGCAAAAATCCATAAAAGCAGTGAATGAGAGGGAAAAAAAAAAATTTAAAAAGCACTGGCAAAAGGCACAGAGACAGAAAAACTCACAGCTTCACACAAACCCACAGAAACCTCATCTGTCCACTAACAGGAAGGGTGTACTAAAGCTTGTACTAAAAATATTAAATAAGTTAAAAAATAAATAACACCAAGGGAAACTCACATGTATATGCACATGTGCACATACATACACACACAGCCTTGATCAGATCCGTCACCAGAGGCTGGATTTTGCAAGGATTCCGCAGGGATCTCTTTCTCACATCTCTTTTGTTTTCCCATGGGTGGGTCAGCGCACAGGGATAATCACGGCAGACCCTCGCCGGCACCTCCGACCCGTCCTAGACCCGTTTCTGTGGTCACACCCATCACGTTCCTGCACAAATCTAATGAGAAAGTCGAGATTCCAGCGCGGAAAAGCGCAGCTCTGCCCCGGAGAGCGCAGAGGACACGGTGGCAGCAGGAGTGACTGTCACTCCTCCGGCCACCTCACTGAGAGGGGCCAGAGCTGTAAACCTTTACACGAGACCGGCGGCATGGATACATTTGAACAAACAAACAGATCAAAAAATAACTTAACGTTAGAAAAAAAAAATAGAATAAATAAATACTGGTCCATTCTGACATACAATTAAAAATAGAATAATAATAATATTAAATAAATAAATAAATAAATATTTTAGAGAGGTTTACTCCAATGCAAGTCTGCTTGGGAAACCCCAGGAGCATTTAGCTGCCACGGACTGTACAGGCAGAGGCAGTCCTTGATGCAGGGATCAGCTGGACGAGTGCAGGAGCTGCCGTCAGCCCCACACAACCCTTGGGGTCATCTCCTGATGCTTCCAACCCTGGTGTGGTGCTTCCAATCATCTGTCCCCAGCCACGAGGACTCCAGTCAGTGTGAGTTTGGTATTTACACCAGTTGCACAAAGCCCCTCTTCTTTCCTTTCCTAGTTTTGGATCTTCGGGCTCGCTGCTTCCTTGCTGCAGCTCCACATGTGTGTTATGGGGTGCCAAGGGGCAGGAGGCTGCTCCTGAAATGCTTCTAGGGCTGGGGAGCTCTGGGTTCCCATCACTGCCTTTGGATCTTCCCAGGGAGCAGAAGGATGGGGCATTTTAGCATTAAATTGGGAGAGACTCTTTGGGGGAAAAGCATGAGGTTTTCAGCCCTTTTGAGAGGGAGTTCACTGCAGAAGGTGGCCAAGGGGCCGCTGCTGGGGCTAGCACAGGAGGGAAGGCAGTGGCATCCTGTCTTTGATACCTCAACCACAGCCCTGGAGTGTTTGCTCAGCCCTACCAGGAGTGCTTCTCTCTGTATCCTAGAAAGGGTCTCCCCAGAAGATGGACCCATCCCCACTAAGCCAGCAGCCATACCAGTGCCCAGCTCTCTGCCTCAGCCCCCTCATCCTCACATTGCCTGCAGCAAGCAAGGTGGGGGATGAAGGGCAAGGAAAAAGGGGAGCTTTGGCCATTGAAGGCACAGGACAAGGGGGTCCAGCACCAGCAAAGATCCTGGGAAAGAGGTCCCTGACATAAAACTTCCTCCTGTACCACCCAGATGGAATCCCTGCCTGCACTGCTGTACTTTCCAACAGATAACAGATTTATAGGCTTGCTGAGGTGATCATCCACCACAGCAGCTCATGGCACTCAGCCTTCCTCCCCTTGCTGCTTTGTCCCTTTTCCAGCTGCCAGGGGCCATAGGTAATTCTATAGATGGGGTGTGGGTAGTAGGTTACATTCCTTTCTACCCCCTCTCCTCCTGCAGATGGTGGCTGCACTCAGCCCTATTCTGTAACACTTAAACAACACACACCTCCCTGACTCATTAAGCCCAAACTCGTTAATAATCATGCAGGATGGAAGGGGAGGGGATGGAAAAAGGGAGGGAGGGAAGTCTTAAGCCCAAATTAGCGTCTCTAAGCACCCAGGTGTTGTAAGAGAAATAAACTCCTCAGCACCAGCTCAGCCTGTGCTGGGAGAAGCCTTTGTTACCCGGCAAAACACAGTAATTGCGCAGGCAGCTGGGCTGGCAGGGAGACAAAACCCCAGGGCCCAGGGCAGCCTGCAGCTCCCTGGAAAAACAGGCAATTAGTGGGGGGCCCTTCCCGTCCCCCTGCACTGCTCCAGCCTCCCAGTAACAAACTGGGGCTCCAGTGCATCCTGCTGCAGCCTGGCACCGGCCCTGCAACTGTGCTGCTGATCCTGCCCCAGGGCTGCCAGAGCCTCAAGGGGGAATGATGGCCTGGAATCCTGCCTGAAATTGTTGAAATTGTTTTGAGGAAGGGGAACTGGGGTCCCCTGGCTCTTGCAATGCCCTTTTAACCCTGCGTGTTCTGACTGCACCCCACAACTGCAATCTCTGCACCTCTGGTCCCACCAGCAAGGCACTCCGAGGGCAACACTCCCTGAAGAAGAACCTAAACCCAACCTGCCTGAGGCTTCCTCCAAGAGGGGAAGCCCATGGCCCCTGTCTCCCATGTGTGGCCTGGCTCTTGGAGCACAGCACGGCACCACCTCCCCTCTGCCTTGTACCTCACCAGCCCCAGGTCTGCTTCAGACCTCAGCAGGTGGTTTGCAAGCAGTTCAGTGCTGGGGGGATAAAACAACCCTGCAAAAGGTGCTGCTGCCTGCTAGGAAAGGGCAGGAGAAAGAGCAAACAGCCTTTTTTTTTTTTTTCCCCAGGAAGTACATTGGAGGGATTTCTAGCCTTCTATTTATAGCAGGGACTGGCTGACTGGCAAAAAATAAATATTTTCTATGCAGAGTGGGCAGCAGCTCCGGAGGAGAGACCCAAAGGACCTGGTATTTGCCTTGATGGGAACAGCCATTCCCCCATCACTGAAGCTTTCCAGCAAACTCCTCCCCAGCTGGGTCTGTCTCTTGAGCAGAAGTTAATTTGTTGGTTCCTGGTTTGTCAGAAGAGGAAGGAGCAGAATTCTTTCCTTTGGACCCGCTGGTAGTGCTTTGGAGAGCAGTAGCAATGGGGAGATGGGAGCACTGGGGAGGATGGAGCAGGTCTGTCGTGACAGAGCCTCTCTAAAGCACCGACCCTTCTTCCAGCCTGGCCTGGGGAGCTGGGGCTGATCCACCCGCTGCGCGCTGGGGCGGAGGGGCTGCACCAGGCGCTCCAGGGCTCTTCCTCCGAACCGGGGAAGGGGGACCCGGCAAAGCCACCACGTCAGTATCGGGGATGATTGCTATCGATGGCCAGGTAGGTGGGAAGGAAGCGGAGAATGCCAGGAATGTGGCGGTGACGCCGGCAGCCGGTGTCAGCCAGCAGTGGCACTCCCTAGCGACGCAGGCTGTCGGAGCTGGCTCCTGAGTCACAGCTCCTGCTCCTGCTGCGGCTGCTCCGGGGGCCCGAGCTCCGGCTGCTGCTCCAGCTGCGGCTCCGGCTCGTCCTGTAGCTGCAGTAGCTGCGGCTGCGGCTCGGGGAGCGGCTGGAGCTGCTGTACCAGGAGGAATAGCTGCCGGCGCTGCTGGAGGAGGACGGGCTGGGACGGTAGTAGGGGATGGGGCGTTTGCGGGCACTGCGGGGACAGAGAGATGTGGGTTACCAGCAGCACAAGGCCAGATTTACTGACAAAATCTCCAAAAAACACTGTTTACTCTACACAGCACTCCCTAAAATGTGACTGTGTTTGTTTAAAATGTAGGTGATGGGCCTTGGGATTCAAACTACCCACCCCCACAGCCCCAGGGAAATCCCAGTCTGCTGGGCTCTACTTGATGATGTCCCAAAGAGCCCTCTGCATGAAGGGTAGAGTCAGCAGTTGACACTCTCCATTGTGGGACATCTACCACAGGGCAGGGTGAAATAAAAAGCCCATGAAGGAATGCTCTTGGCACCTGAGTCTCTGCTCTGACTTCATCTTCTTTTTTCCTTCAGCTATTGTAAATTGAGACCCTCTCCATCCTCCCTCTGCCTCTGTATGGAAATCCCCAAGCTCTAGAGGAGGGGTGGAAGGGCCTGCTGATCAGGCTCAGGGAAACTGCTCTCCTGGAAAAACCTCCTCTGGCAAGGGCTGGGACCCAAGGACAGCCCTGATCCCCCCGGGAAGTGCCAGCTGAGCCTGTCTGCAAAGGCCGGGACAGCATCCCCTTGCCTTGTGATGCGCCGAGCTTCGAGGTGGCTGGGAGAGTCTCTCCGGCGTTTCCTCAGGGGGGAATAGGAGCGGCGCCGCCGCTGCCGCTCCCGGTGCGACTCCTTCTCGCTGGAGCTGTACTTGTGCTCCCGCTCGCGGTCCCTGCGGAGGGCACAGCAGGGGCACTGTCACTGCAGGGGCTTGGGGGTGGGTCAGGGATGGACAGGCAACGACCTACGAAGGCACAGATGAGCACAGGACGCTCAGCTCCAAAAGGGACAATTCTGAGCGCTCTGGTGGCATCACCCCTGAGAGCTCACACAGCTGGACACCACTAATGTGTCCAGAGGTTCCAGCAGGGTCTTCCAGTGGCTTTGCCCTGCCAAGCTAAGATGGCTTCCAGGGACCTGCGTCTGTGGGTGCAGTCTGTATTTAGCTCTTGCTGGCAGGAACAGCCCTGCCAGCAGGCCCCACGTGAGCTGAGGGCCTGGTAGCCCTGCAGGGCTCCGCAAGCCTCGCCAGAAGGAGTGCCGGTGTTGCTATGGTTTTCTCTTTTGTTAAATTCCCATACACGTCAGCACAGGCCCTTCTGAACAGCGTGGCTGACTTCATACACCCTGCTCAGTGCCATCTGCAAAGCAACACGCTGCAGGTCAAGGGCCTGCCCGATCCCTGCATGCCGAAGTGTTCTCCCCACCAGCACGGGGATTGTCAAAGCCTGCAAGAATCGACCTTGGCAATGTACGATTTTGAGGGTGCAAATGTTCACAGCAGCACAGGTGCTATCAGGAAAACCTGCCAAAGGCAGCTCTAGGGTTGAAATGGGAGACTGTTTCCTATGGCGTATGGAGGGAGTAGAGGTGCCTGGACTGCGTTTCTCTCTGCAAGGCTGTGAGTGCCAGCCTGAGGGTACCTGGCAGCTGCCCTCATAGCAGGGGCACTTTCCCAGGCCTGACAGCTCTCTGTAAGAGCTGTGACTCTAAAAAGTAGAGTGTCTTTCCCTGCTGCAACCAGATTCCTCTCTGAGAGGGGCTGCAGCTCTGCTGCTGGCTGTGTGGGCAGACCCAGCTGGAGCCTCAGGCTCTGCCCAGCACTCACAGCAGCATGACAGGGATGGAGGCAGGGGAACGTCTGAGGCAGCAGGTACCACATGAGTGGACAGCAGGTACCACATGAGTGGACAGCAGGTACCACATGAGAAGACAGCTGTACCTGCTACGGCTGTAGCGGGAGTAACTGGGGCTCCGGCGAGGCCTTGAACTTCTACTCCCAGGACTTTTTTTGCAGGATTTGGAGGAATAGCTGGGGGAACGTGAGGAAGACCTGGAGGTAGGAGAGAAATGTAAAGGAGTTAATGATGCTGGAGGGTGAGGCTGTACCAAATCATGAGGGGAAAGAGATGTCCCATTCCCCAGTGTCTCAGCCCCCAAGACTTGTGGATCCAAAGGCACCCCCAAACTCTTCCACCTCCCCCTGCAAGGAGCCTGCTGGCTGGCAAGAACTGGACACTGTCCCGGGTCACAGAGACAGCCGTGGGAGCTGCCTCACCTCTTTCCCGAGGAGCAGGACCTGCTTCGGGAGTATCTGGGCGAGGCCTTGTGGTGCGAGGAGCGGCTGGAGCCGGGGGAGGATCGGCCGGTGCTGCTGCAGGAGCTGCGGGAGCCCGGCCTGCGCGGGGAGCTGGGGGCTGGCGAGGGGAGGAACATTCGCTTCTTCTCCTCTGAGGAACCGAGACATGAGGGTAGGCACGCTCTGTGAACATATATTTGGACACTTTTTGAAGTTGTGGCTGAACCGGGACTGGTCCCCGGCTGAGGGGAGCACCATGCTCCAGCAAATAAATATTCCCATCCTTCCATTCCCTAACTGGAGGTAAAAAAGAGCTCTCAGCTCCCCAGGCTGCTGTTGCCCCTGTGTGTGGGACAGATTCCAAGAGCTCACCCTCTGGGCTGTGCCAGGGGAAGCAAAGAGGTGTGGGAGAGCTCTTGGGTGGCACAAGCAGCAGTTCATCTGCCCCATGCCCAACACACCAGAGGTGTCTGGCTGGCAGAGCCTGGTCAGGCCAGCGAGCAGTGCTGGTCCTGGGCAGGGAGCGAAGTAAAAAGTGCTGCAGCAGGGGAAAGGCAGAGCGTGGCAGGGCAAGGGCTGTGCTCCAGCCTGGCTGTGCAGCAGCATGAGTGGGCACTGAGCAGGCATGTCCTGTTGCCTTTGGATAGTGCTGCATGAATTCCTCCTCTTCCAGAAGTGCTCTGGGAATGAACTGGGGTCAGAGCCCAGCAGCCAAGCAGCCTCCCAGCAGCCAGGGCCAGCTGCAATCCCAGCTCCACCCATGTGAAGGCAGAGTTACCCCACTGGAGTCACCATGTGCAAAGTACAGACAGACCTAAAATTTTACCCTCTGACTGAAAAATGAGGCTTGTTCTTACTAAAACCCATTACGCTGGCTCTCTCCTGTCACATTCAGTGCTCCAAACCATGTCCTGGCTCTAACTTTCAGCCTTCAGGACCCCGGGGCCTGAGCTGGAAGAGCTCCCTACAACCACTGCCTAAGCACAGCCCTGGGTACCAGCCACCATGCTTCAGTGCCCTCATTCCCAACATCCCCTGGCAAAAGCCCAGGAATGGGAGGCAGCGATGGAGGCTGGCAGCTACTCCCCTCTCCTGAAGATGCCCTGTGGCCCCAGTGCAGAGCTGCTGCTGTGTTATCCTGCAGCCAGCCAAGTGCTTGCCCCTCCCTATGCTCCCCACTGGCAGGAGATGCCATCTTGTCACCCTGGAGCTGTGCTGGATGAGCTGGGAAGGGGAAGGGGCATGCTGGATTTGGCTCATTGGACAGGTGAAAGAATAGCCCATAATGATATTAGTGGAAACAAGCCCCACTTCCCTTCCCCACAGTAGGCAGAAAGGGAGAATTAGCATGGCAACCCCCAGATGCTCCTTTCAGACTGTGCCCAGAAGGGCCAGAGACATTTTTTTTGACATGGCCATGCCCAGGTGAGCAGGGGTGTGCTGTGACCAAGGCCTGACTCAGCCCCAAACCCTGCATGAGCCACAGCAATGCCAAAGCACTGACACAAGCAATGTCCAGGGATGTGATGGCTGGGTTTTATCTTCCTCCTCAGGCTACAGGACTGGTCCTTGCTGGGTTCTGGACTCCAGACTGGCAAGACCGTGGGTCTGGTTGGTACCTGCCTGCCTCCAGAGCACAGAAAGCTCCCTGCCAGCTCACCACAGCAACTGGTGAGCAGCCAGGAGACACAGAGCAACAACTGCAGCAGCTACTGGTAATCACTGACCTTCGGTCTTGTCCCTGGGCATCTGGAGACAGATTTTCCAAAGCTGTTCCCTTGGTCTGGGAAAAGCAACTGGTGAAGGAATTTCCTGAATCAGAGCTGTTATCGCTGTTGGCCAGTTTGGGCTTCCCGGACGAGAAGGCATGGCCAAAGCCATCATGGACTAGACTTCTTTTCTCCTGGCTGTCCTTTGACCTGGATGAGCTCGTTTGAGTGGAGGGAGGGGAGGAAGTATCGTTTCCTGAGTCATATTCATGATACTCTCCATTCTGGCTGGCTAGGTTGCCAGGCGGGCTGTCTGTTTTGGTAAAGAGGTCAGCAGAAGACCCTGACTGAGAGATCTGAAAGCAAAAAAGCCATTTGGCATTGTTTGAATGGTTTTTTGGGGGGTTGTTTTTGGTTTTACTTTGCTTTTTTTTTTTTTCAAATAAACCCAGAAATTTTACCATCATGATGCACTGAAACAAAAGGAAAGGAAAGAAAAGAAACAAAGTAAGAAAGAGAGAAAAAAAAGAAGAAAGGAGAAGAAAACAAAAGCACATATCCCTAAAAGAAATCCACAGTAAGAAGAAACTTATTTTCCCCCTGCTATAATAATGGGAAGATTTAGAGATCATGCAAAGAGTATCAGCATGCGGTTCATGTTAAACAAAAGTGTTCAACAAAGTAAGTGGGCAACCAAAGAATTAAAATAACTAACTAAATAAAAAAATGTAACAGAGGACAAAGCCCTTATTTAACCTTAAAGAGGGGAGAAAAATAAAGGGGGTATATACATATAAAAAAACCTGCATAATCCTTACAAAGAAAACAAAAATGAAACAAAAACTTAGATGAGTGAATGTTTTTAAGCTTCCTTAATAAAGTGGCTGAACCAATGTCACTAAAATAAGCAACAAAAAACCAAATCAAAACAAATTAAGGGCTTCTGTACAAAGCAAAAATTGGCAAATGAACAAGCTTATCACTTTGAAATTAAAAAAAAAAAAAAGAAAAAAAGAAAAAAGAAAAAGAAAAAAGAGGGTGAGGGAAAAAAGAAAAATCCCTTTGGAAATAAAAGGTATACAGATACTTCTTTGTGTGCTTTTTACCCCCTGAAGAAGATATAGCTAATGCGCTCAAGTGACCTCTAATAAATTCCCTGGTGTCTTGCGGATAGCATCCACTTACCCATCAAGAACTCCTCCTTTAGTAGGTAAGGTGTAAGAAAAAAGGAAGAGCGGGCAACATAAGTCCATCATTAGAGTCTCAAATTACATGAAAAAAAACATAAACCCTCTCTTCAATCCACACTGCCAACTGTTTGCTGCCTCCTCTATGCAAATGTCATGACTGCTTTTTGTCTGCTCGCTCGTCTCCCTTATTATTCATTTTTGTTTCCTTCTGCTTTAAATTAGCCTGTCCAGTCTGTTCCTGGAGGCTGATGGCTTGTGCTGAAAGCTGCAGCTTGCACTGAATCCCCCTGAGCTGTATGGAAATGACAAAGGGAACTCGAGTGAGGGAAGAAGCAAAAGAATGGAGGAGGAAAAGTATCCCCACTGTGTATCAGAGAAGGGGAAGGGGACAGCAGCCCTGCTCCTGCCAGCCTCTGCAAGGGGGTCCAGCCACACCCTGGGCTGGGTTGCTGAACACAAGGCAAGCAAGGACCCCAAACTCACATAGACTGACCTGAGCAGGGCTATTCTCTGGGGCCCTGAGCACCACCAAGGGGATTTACATCATTTCAGTATTTTATAGTTCAGTTTTAACTGCACTGGCATTTACCTAAGCCAGCTCAGGAGTGTGGCAGCAATGGGAGGGAGGCTGTGTTAGTGCTAACATCTGCCCTTGCAATGGGGTGAGAATTAGGGCCCAATGCACACGTCTACACTCTCATGTGGCCTCCTTCTCTTTCACTTGGAGCCTCCACTCTCCTCAAACCCACCCATGAGATCTGGTGCAGGGTTCTTAGAGTGTGGACACACTGGTTTGGCTCCCCCCACTCAGAAGAGTCCTCCGAACATGTCCCAGCAAGCCGTGCTCCCTCAAACATGTGCACATGCCACACTCTGGGGCACGCAATGACCCCATCTATGCCATGCTCTCCACACTGAGGACCTGGGCCATGCCCTCACCAATCTGGGGCCTGTTGAGCCAAAAGAACACATTGCAATGTTGGTGCTATCTCAGGCAGCAGAGGAGACCTGGATCAGCTGTCACACAGCAGGCACAGGGCCATTCCCTTCTGAAAGTTTAGCTGTGGCCTGGATGACTTTTTCATCCTCAGAGGGGCTGCAGACTCAGCCCGTGTCATGTTTCACATGGATCTCCTTCATCCTATCAGATGGTGCCTCCATATCCAGGCTCCTGCCTGTGACATTCAATCTGTGTCCCCAGGGAGAGCTGCTCCCGACCCAGTTCAAGGTGCTAACTGGGACAGGGACAGCTGACTCGGACACAGCTGCTGAACCAGCAGTGACTGAAACCAGAGCAGGGCTACCAACACCCACAGCAGCTCTCAGCACAGTCTGCAGAAGGATGGCTGCCCACGACACTTTGGCTGCTCTGAAAACACCTGGAGCTGGAGGATCTCCAAGTACTTTCTGTGTTGCCAGGGAGAGAAGCATTACTGCTTCTGGATAAGGGATTAGCTCATCACAGCAAATCCATAATGGAGTTCCCCATCTTCACCCCACACCAACTTCTAATTGATGCTCTGTCCCAGATCCCAGCTTCTGAGAAACCAGAAGCCCCAGCAGCAAACATGGGAAATTAGGTGATCCTTCTTCATTAGCCAACTTGCACCTTCAATGCAGAAGCCCTGGACAGAGCAGAATCATCTCCCAAACGCTCCTAACTAGGAATGAGTGGAGACTCACACTGGAAGGCCTCATTTTAGCATCTGGAACTGCTCCTTGCTTCTTCTCAGCTCTAGCAATTCTCTACTAGTCCTTGCTTACTCCAGCAGAAACTGGAATGTCACAGGAGCCTAAAGGAGCCAAATAGCCAGCTCTGCTTTTCACCAGTTATTTTCTGAAACCCTGATGCCACATCCAGAGCCCCAAGAGATCTGACCTCTTTGCTATGGACCACTGCACTCTCCCCAGCCACATTCCAGAACATACAGGATTGCACTTTCAAATATGTTACCAGGTATTTTTCTTAAAAGATGGGTTTTGGTTTGCATTTAAGCTGAATCCTAACCCAGAGACAACCAGCTTTTCACCACCTTTCACGTACAGGCATAAAACCAGCATGTGAGGTATTTCCTGGCTGCAGGGGTAGGATGAACCTGCAGTGGGCACAGGGCTGCTCCAAAGGACACTGACCCCAGCATCAGACACAGAAATACTTCCTTCTATTCCTTCCCAGTTTAAACTGAAAGACCATTATTGCTGCCAAGAAATACAGCAATTTCTTGGCATTTCTAAACCAGCTTTTCAGACTGACTCCAGGACCTGGCATCCTTGCTTCTGCTCTGCCTTGGCTGACATCTACCTTCAAAGCAGCAACTGTTGTCAGCACATCACAAAATCTGTCAAATGACCGGGAGGATCAACAAGCTCCTCTGTAGTTCAACATCTGTGGCAGCAACACTCTGGGAAAGGCAGTGTGGATATCAGTGAAATATGGAGCTGACAGTCTGGGTAAGGGCTGGAGGGTCTGCATGGGGCAAGGGAGGTGCCAGGGGGGACACAGCAGCTTCTCAGCCCCACCACTCTGGGGCACCTGTAACCAGTGGCTTCCCGCAGGCTCTGGGGGAGGTTCTGCCCTGCAGCAAGAGCCAGGACAAGTCTCAGGGTGCTCAGCTTGCCTGCCTGCTCAGACCAATTCCCCATATTCCCCACTGGATGATCCTGGCTTTGCTCGTGGTCCCGTTTTACTGTTTCTGAAAGTCATGCCAGCCACCCAGTATGGAAGCAGAGTACCACATCTAAAAACACTGCACGGAGCTCAATTGAATCATACCATTCTGTGTGATTCTGAATTCTAATGGCCTTTTACTTTTTTAGGGTGGCTTAAAAGAACCTGCTCTTTCACAAATCTAATTCTCTCTATGTGAACATTTGGATTTCCCCCACACACAACCCCTAATAAGTAATCAAATAATCTCAGTGAACATTGTTTCATCCAGCTTTCAGCAGGGAACATACTGCTGCCCTCAAGGGAACCCAGGATATGTATTTATTGGATTTTTTGTTTCAAATCATTATTTAATCAAGATGAGGGGGGAGCAGAAATGAGGCACTCACTCATATTCCAGACTGTAATTCCAAGTGCAATCCCAGACCAAGAGGCAGCGTAGTCTAACAGGTTACAAAAATACAATCACTGCTCATCTTCCAATTAAACTGAACAGCTCCATTTACTGTGCCACAAACAGCCCCGGGGTAAGAGATGACAATGCTCAAAGTTGTCTCAGCCATGTGGGGACAGCAGCGTGGCACAGCCTCACTCAGAGCTGCAGAATTCCTTCCGTGGCTCTTTTTTTTTCTCTTGTTTTGCAACTCACTTCAAAGCAGAGTTAATTTCTCTTTCAGAGAGGCATAACGTCTGCTTTTCTCTCTTTTTCTAGGCACTGTGCTAATGAAAGGAGTAAAACACTTGTGTCGGTGACCCCGGCGAGCCCCGGCTGACATCTGCCAGAGCCGCCGGCACAGAGCCAGCACCTGCTGGGGCTGCTGGGGATGGGGCTCTGCGCCTGCCCTGGGGCTCCTCCACCTGCCAGAGCTCGGAGGAAATGGCCTCACCTCTGCTGAGAACCTCCCCCAGCTGAAAAGCCAACTTCTGATTGAGTACGAAAACCAGAAGTTCTGTAGGAATTCGATATAACCCCTTTTTGCGCAGTTGTGAGTCCCTGACTCGAGCATTGAGTGGGAAAATTCCCCTTTTCTTGGCAGGATGGGAGTTCAGGGTGAGGCTTTCTGTACCACAAGGGCTAAGCTGAGTCCCAGAGCAGGGAGGCAATGACACAGCTGTCCCTGCAAGCCCTGAGCTTGGGTTACTTGGGGCTGGGAGGTCACACTTCTGAGCAGCCTGGCTCACCAGTACATTGCTGGGGCAAACTCCAGACAATGCCAAGCAAAGGTTTGTTTCTTTTCAAGGATCTTTTTCGCCTGCTGGGGTGCTGGCATTGTGTCCCCACCTCAGCTTGAGCCAGGCTGGCACTGCTTTGGAGCAAAGGATTGTCTTCCACCATCTCATTTTGGTACCTGGTGCACAGCCCAGCCCTTCAATGGATACAGGCAACAATCTTTCCCCACAGCTGCTCCCAGTGCTGAGCTGTGGATTTGTCACACAGTAATCAGAGGTAACCTCAGTCCCCCGGCTCGGAGGGGAAAACATTAAAAGAAAAAAGAGTATAACTTCCATATTTATAGGTTTTGCCTTTCTGCTCTTGAAGGGCCCGGTCTGCTGTCAAAACATGCTGCCTAGCACTCAAAAGAATAGTTTTTCCTATGTAAGACAAAACCCAGGCTAGAAAACAGCAGCAGCAAGTCAATACGCAGGTCTGCCATAAGGTTTCCTCAGCCTTCCAACACACTTTGTCCCAGTCCCTGCACAGCATTTCCCCTATTCTACCTTCCTGCAGACACGAGCACAAAGACAAACAGCATCATTTGGACCAGCTGTACCCCACTGAGCTTCACTGGAAATCTGGCTCAAGCCTGTGATAATTTGTGGCATCACAAATGAGTTACAGTGAAAGCAAAGGAGCTGGCAAGGAAAGTGTATGCACAGTGCAGTTATCTTCATCAGCAACAACAAAGGCAATTAGATCCGTGCCCTGCAGGTATTTATATTGCACTGCTAAAGGAAAGCACAGTGGCACAGTCATCCATCTGTGTCGGTGTGGAATAAAGTGCCTGCAGCTGGGCAAGGGTATTCTGTACAGAAATAAATGCTGCACATTACCCACAGCTTCTCTGTGCCTGCTGAGGCACAGGCCCACAATCCTGCTCTCCACAGGTGCCTCTTGTGGCTGCATGGGATTAAAGGAGAAGGAGAAGCTTGGAAATTCACTGCCATAAAGAAAAGTAGCAGGGAACTTTGAGGTGTTTCTGCATGTGTACATGCATGTGTGGGTGCATCAGCTTTTGCATAAAGAGGGAAGGAAGCAGCAAGGCAGATGCACAGGCAGGGCATTGTTTTGTGTGCTTTATCCCCCAGCAGTTCCAGGTAGATCTAGTTAGAAACTGTGGCTGCTTCATTACAAAGGAATGAAGACTAATAGGGTGGGGAGGATAGCAGTACCACAAAGCACTTCAAATTTTCAGAAGCAAAACAATATCGAATAAAAAACATATTGAAAAGCAAAACCTTTGTTTTGGAAGTGCTATAGCATTATCTCATATTTCCCTGTATCTCTGTGTATTTTTCCCTGATCCTCCTTGGACAGTCCCTTTCATTTGGAGATATGACAATGCTTCTCCCCAGGTAAGGATGGTTTGGTTTGGAAGCCCACACCGGATGGAAGAAAAGGGAATGTAACAAACCAACTCTCACAGAGGACTGAAACATGCCATTTTTAAATTCTATTTCTGAATTTTTTCACAAAGTCTTCTATTCCCCAGCTTTTTTTTTTTTTTTTAATATGTGATCAACATATTCTGCAAGAGCACATTTTCATTTCAGGCTGCTCTCAAAGTCTGACAGAATGAAGCTTATTCATAGAGCAACCATTTAACTCATGAAAAGAAAAGGCTTCAAAGGGTTGTGTATAGTCATTAATAAATGAGACTAAAGGTTCTCATTCCATTTTTCCCTTGCCAGTTTTGAGTACATGATATTTAATGACCTTATTCAGCAAAATTTCAGGGGCAGCTCTTAACCAGGGGCTTCAATTTGAACAAGTGCTTAAATGTGCTCTTGAATGGTGTCCCAAGAGAATGTACTTCTTTTGGGGACAGGAGGACAGTAGTGGCTTTCATGAGTCATTATGCATTTTAGTCATTGAAATATTTGCCTAAGTTATTAACCCTTACTAGAAAGAACACAGGAGTATCCTGATGACTTTTACTTTGCATCCACCCCCTGCATCTGGAACTATCAAGCTCTTGTCTTTCCTTCCCTGCAGCTTTTCCATTTGCTTCACTCATTTACCTTGAGTGAAGCAAATGGAAAAACGAGTGCAGGATGCTTGAGTTTAGCTCATTTTAAAGCTTTTAAAATTTTAAATTAGAGTTTACTCTTTCTCAGGAAACAGAACAGCTGGCAGTTGGCCTCACAGGACTTAGGAAGCCTGGCTTCCGAGAGAGGAAACCTAACACTAATTAAAAACTAGGCTTAGGCTCAAAAGCATTTATGAAAAGTACACTGCTTGAACTAAACAACACCCTGGTGACCTGATGCAGTCTTTGGCTGGCTGTTTTTTGGGGGGGGAGGAGCCCTGAACTCAGCAACACCCCCAGTTCATGACAATGAGCTTCATACCTTGTTTTCCTCTGCGTGTGCGTGCACACATGAGCGTGTGGTGTGAGGTTCTGCTCTCCACGCTGCCTTATAAGGCTTTACAAGCAGTGACTCACACGGCCCCACACGCTCTATAACGAGAGCAAATATGCATATCTATAATGTTGAGAGACAGCTTGTGCCTGTCTGTACCCACGTACAATCCCTGGGTATTTTGATCGGCACGCTGTCTGTGTGGGTGAGTGGGTAGAGTCTCTCCTCTTGCTGGCACCATCTCTCTCCTATCTGATGCAGCTCCTGCGTGTGGCTGAGCTATTTCCAACTGATGACTGGGCCTAAAGGAGAAACCAGCTTTGGGGCTTGGAGGACTCTGTAGCCAAAACACCTCTAGCATTACGCATCCACATCTGTGGCTATCAGATCCTGCACTACCTCCAGTCCCACGCAGCAATTTCTCTCTCCACAGTGAGTCCCTGTCTGATACCAACACCACAGTCAGGGTGTCACACCTCTGCTTTACTGCTGCCTGGAACAAAGGGGAAGCATGCCACAGAAAAGGAAGACTGATACCAATCTCTATCTAATATTTCTCTCCATCTCTTGCTCTCTCAATTCATGTATTATATCATCTCTTTTTGTGCATATGGAAGAACATCCCAAGGCACTGAGCCTGATTTTACCCTCAGATGCACATGCAGTTCCCATTAGCATCAATGAGGGCTGCTCATAACTTCCAAATTTGGCCCCTGGGCTTGTCAGTCCAGAGGAACAGTGATCCTAGAAGGATCCTGATTGTCAGAAAACATCCCATGCCAATAATCACTAGCTCATTAAATGTAAATGTTCCTTCTGTATATGTTTAATACCCTTTTTCAGCCTGAAGGACTAAACTTTTGGATGTAGAGACCAGTGAAATAAGTTCACATCCAGCTGAGCAAAGACTGCATAACAAACTCTTCCCTTTAAAGTACCGTTTCTGGAGGCCACTTTTTTTTTTTTTTTGTTAAATGTCCTCAATTCATTATTCATAGGCTAAATACTTTGCAAGTTTTCCCCCTCTCCAGCCCCACCCTTGGTGTGAAAGTGCTGAAGGAAGGAATGACTTTACATACAGTGGAAAACAGCACCATGAATTAATAATACAGTTTAACCAAGTTTGTCTAACATCACTATAATTGAGTTATAAAAATTTCATATCAGAGTTCTTGCCCAGATTCCTCTGGCTAGTTCAAGCAAAGGAGGACAGTGTGTAATACTTACTACTTCCTTAGAAGACAGGAAGCTGTAGAGTGGGAGGGTTTGGCTGGCTTTTTGACTGGCCTGAACCTCTGGAGAGGAGCTTCTCTTTGCTGTGATCTTTGAATGGTGGCAGGAGCGTCTTCGCCGTGTTTTACGCCCTTCCTCTCGAGACCTGGCTCTGTGCCTCCAGGAGACAGGAACAGCCAAAATGTTATTCCTTAGCATTGCAGTAGTGCCCATTCCCAGCTCCACACCAGCCCTTGGCAGGTCTGTGCTAGGACTCTGTGATGGGAGAATGTCCTTCCACATGACTGCTCTGTGGAGTCATGAGGGAGAGAAAAGGGATGTTTTGCTTTTCTACTTTAAAAGAAAAATAATAATTTTGCATTCAGGCTTTGGACCTTAACCTCAAATTTCAGCTCCAATGCATGATTTTATGGCGGCTGAAGGCAAGCCATGACCTTCCTGCACCATAGAATGTTCCTATGGTGACACACCTCCAAGAGAAAACACTCTCCTCTTGCATGAGCACCCCTTCAATTACTGATTGCATTCCTCCCCCCACTGATCCTCAGCTTTTCATAAGAAAATTCCCAGTACTTAGGAGGAGTGAAGTAGGAGAGTGGGGGTGGGCTGTTCAAGTGCTTTCAGAGAACATGAAAAATGAAATTATTATGTGTATAAATCACTTGCTATTGCAGCAATTCTGGGTCTAGCACCAGCATCCACTTAGCTGGCCCCGGGACACATCTGTCATCCAGAGGAGAGATTTTAATCAGGTCAAAGACAATGACTACAGATTGCCACAGGCAAATATATTTCCATTGCTAAGACCATGTTTAAGGATTTCCTGGGACATCAGCAGAACAGAGCCCTTGGGCTGGGGAAGGGACACTAGACTGGGATCAGCTGTCATGGGCTGATCATTGGCCACAGGGATTAGAAGTGACTGTCAGATGAAAAAGCTGCAGCCACTGCTTCTTGAGGCAAAACCCTTCCATGGCTGAGCCCACAAACAGCTCAGCCCGCGGTGTGTGACCCTGCTGGCCCCAGAGTGGGAAGTGCACAGAGAGCCTGCAGGTCACACAGGCTGTGGCAGGCACATCCGTGGGCCCAGCAGGCAGTGCTGAGGACACCGAGCTCGGGAGCAGCGCTCTTACCTGCTCCGGCAGCTGGGGGAGTGGGAGTCGGAGCTCTCTGAGCGAGAGTGGCAGCGGCGATGCCGATGGGATTTCCGGGTGCGCCCACGAGAGCTTTAAGAAGCATAGAGAAAACCAGCATTAGGTTAGCAAGTGGGGGGATGCAAGAGGCAGCAGCTGAAGGCTGAGGTCGATAATGATCAAATCAGAAGGGAGGTATGCCTTTTAAACCAAAGAGACTGGTGTATGAAACATGGCACAGAACATCAAGGCATGAGAAATTCTCCATCCCCTCATCACTGCAGTGACATCTTCCTGAGATCTCTGCTAACATTTTACACACAAGCTATTAGGTTGGCTGTGTAGCATGCTGGGGGAAGATTTGTGGACAAGGATGTGGGAGTGCAGCAGCCAGCACCAATCCTTTCAAGTCCTTAAAGAGCCATGTGTTTGCCTTTCATCCTACAGTCTACCCTGCCAGGCAACTGCCCAAGACCCTCCTGTTGCTGAGCCTTGGGGGAAGCACCATCTCTGTGTGCAACCCATCACAAACCTCCAGCCCTCTGCCTAGTCCTTGTTCAAAAGCAGGTGCAGGAGGACAAGCTCCAAGTGATAGAGTACACTCAGTAGCAGCCAGCCTTCCCCACCCTCTCCAGGTGGGAGCATTTAGCCAGTCCTGTGGGCAGCTCTCCTAAGCCTGCCTTGTGCACAGTTCCTGCTTGAGAGACAGGACCATTTCCCTGGCTTCTGGCAGGTGCCCAGTCACTGGTGCTGCCTTTTCTGACAGGGCCTGAGGACAGTCCTCAGCAAACTGTGTGTAGGGGACAGAGGGCCAGTGCCCTGCTACACTTCCTTTGCACCACCAGGCTGTTTCTCATGGATTACCTGGCCCTGTTACCTAAGGACTATAGTTGTCCATGCCAGCAACTGAAGTCCTGGGTGCAGAGAGCACGGTGACATGGGTGACAGGCTAGCTGCCAGCTTCTGTGCCCTGTCCCTCCCATCTTGGTCGACCACAGCAGTTAATTTAGATCTGGAAGCGTTTCCATCTGCTCAGGCTGGCATGGCTGTGCCAGCAGGCAAAGCTAGCTCTGGGTGAGCTGGTGGGAACAGCCTGACTTCATGGCCACACTACACAGGCTCTGACAGCACAAACACAACCTGCTTGGACAGCACTTAGCAACTTGCTGGTATAAAAACTCAGCAAATAATTGCCTGAGAACAGCATCTCCTTTAAGACAAAAGGGCAACCTCCAGGGCAATTCCTTCAACTCTGTTTGGCTGTTTTCTTTGATGCTTTTCACACCCAATGATTCTTTTTTTCTTAAAGTTTGCATTTTGGGATCCTCCTTTCTTATTTCCAAACTGCTGAAATCAGCAACACTGAACATCTTTTACTCATATGGTGGATTTGTGTGGAAGTCTCCATGTTTGCCCTTCACCCCCTGTACCAGTCCCTGCAATTTTTCTTCCCTTCCTGCAGAAGGGAAAACTGGTCCTGTGTGATTTAGATAACCAGCTGCTTGATGCAAAGATAAGTCAAAGCAGTGTGATTATACAAAAATCCTCATGGGATCCATCTGATCCACGCCTGGGAGCAAAAGATTTGCAGAAACTGGGAGTGGCTGAGCTCTGATTTGCCATCAGAAAGATGAGACTAAAACGCCTTGGCTGGTTTATCCCCAACGGGCAATTCCAGCAGCTCTAGTTCCCTGAGGTCAGGGCACCCAGCAGGACATGGATCTTAGCTTTAACTGCACTGTTAGGGTACTGCTGTGTTAGGCTGGGGAGATCCCTCCTTTTGCAGATAACCTAGGAAGCTCTCTTTTACCACCAAGGTTTCTAGGTGCAGGGCAGCCCAGTTTGAGGGGAAACTGAGCTGAAACTGTGCCACTTAACATGCAGAAATCTTAGTGAAAAGGAGACTGGCTTTCTGCATGCAATGAAGATAGCCTGTGCAGGCTATCCCAAGGCCCAGCAAAGCTGACCAGGGGGCCAATGCCCAAGGTTCAGCCCCAGGACTGTTACCTTGCTCTGAAAGCAGGTCAGAAGTCACGAGTTGCAGTTCCCAGAAGACAGAGAACAAAGGGAAACATAGAGGCAGCTTACAGTCCTTCCAGTCCTGAGGAACATGTTATACCATGCCCCTCAATTATGTACTCCACAGGACAAGGATTGTGCTCTGCTAACACTCCAGGGCTGAACATCAACAGTAGATTTTTGCAAACTCAATCCCCTCCAAATAATCCCTTCTCTTCCCCTTGACCCCGATTCAGATCCTTGGCAGTATTGTACCTCATGGGTAGGTCCTAATGCAACCTCCTAGAGCAGCAAACTGGAGCTGCTGAGGCCCTTCCCAGTAAGGGTGTGCCAGCCTGTCCTTTTGGCAGGTCAATGTTCAGCCTCTCATGCTGCCCCCACCAGAAAAGCTGAAGCCTTTTTCTCTGGACTGGGTGGACAAGACTCTGCACATCTGTGCAAGATACACGAAGTACAGAAAAAGGCGTCACAAAAGAAAGACAGAAGAAAGATCTCCAGCCTTTACAAACCCTTTTCTATTCCAGCAAAACCAGAATTGCCGGTTTTAGCTTTAAAATAATCCTGAGAAATGCTTAGAGTTGCGCCCCAGGTGTTAGCTCCAGGGGCCCCACCACATCAAGCACTTCCTAGCCCCACACTGTGCAGGCAGGGCAGAGAACCCCATGAACCACTACTTACTGTTTTTTGTGTTTTCTTTCTTCCTTTCTCTTACTTTTGGGGCTTGAAGAACTAAATAAGAAATGGCTAATTAATTCGGAGATTTCTGTTCCGATAAAAAGCTGCACAATCACACAGCAATGTTACAGCTCAGTTGCCCAAGAGCATGCAGTAAAAATGAAAGGGATTCATGATTGTTACAGCACAGGGGGTCTGAGTGCCTGCTGACAAATCTGCTTCATGGGCTTGGCCAGAACCCTCAAAGGGATCAGCCAACTTGGTGATTTTGCCTTTTTCCATAGAGAAAATGAGTACTTCTTGATAATGTATACACACATACTGGAATCAGAAGAGCTCTTCCAGTGCACACCTGGGGAGTCACTGGCCCCAGACCCACATGGAATGGGGGACCCAAGGGGATTCCACAAAGAAACACAGAATAAATGCCTTCTGCCTCCAATCAGTGAACATCAACCTTGAAGAGACCATTAAACTCTTATTTCTAAGGGACCACCCATACTTGCTAAACTCTTACCTGTGCCTTCTCTTCTTTGACGATAACCTGCAAGACACAAATATGTACATTGAATATAGGGTCTCACAAAATTGGAAATTTGAGTCCAAGACAATGTCTTTAGGCTCAGACTGAGCACTTGAGAGAAGAGCTTATGCAGCACATGGGCAGAATGGTCCCTCCTCTCCTTTAGCCAGCTGGTGAGGGAGCAGCTGAGAAATGCTGGTGTGCCAGAAGGGACCAGCACACCCTACAAGTAACTGAGAACATGGTCCTCAGCATAACAAGTCTTTGGAGAGATCAGATACATCCCCCATCTCTGGTGGGTCCTTTTTCTCTTCTACTGCCTCCATTTTTGCACTGCATGAAGAGGTGGATCTGTTCCCCAGTTTTCTGTATGAAAGACCAAATAGCAGTCAAGGGAAATATCCTCTCTGCATAACTCCAGAGCAGTCTCACAGCCAAACCAGCATCATGGCCCTGTCTTGCCTCCTGGAGCACCCCTGGGATGACACAGGAAACACTTCTCTCATCCCTGGTGGCATGGAGGATGTGTCCCTGCAGCAAGGTCTGGTCCCAGTGCACTGCACACCCCACTGTCTCTCCTCTCAGCTTGGAACACAACATCCTGCAGAAGACATGGCCTGAAGTCCTGCCTGGAGGGGCTGTGAGATTGCCTCTGGAAAAATCACTTGGGGTCTGTAGCTGAAATGGTACCAGGTGTCTGGAAACAACCTCCACTGGTCACTAATCCTGAATGGTTCTTATCATGCTGTCTCATGAGACCAGCTCCAGCTTATCCTCGGCTTGCAGGGGCATAAATGGCTGCCAAAGGTTCAAAGCCAGAGTCTCTGACCCAGGACTTCCATCAGGAGATGGCACCCACAAAAGAGCATAAGAATTCCTCCTTGGGAATAAAGTGTTTTAAAGGAGCCCCTATATCCTTGTCTCTCCTTCTTCCTTGCTCTTCTTTGGAGATTCAAGCTCAACTTTTCACCCTGTTATCCACTTTTGGTAGCTTCTCTCTTTGGTTCAATATATTATAAATACATGAACCTTCTTAGGGAGATGGAATCCACTGTTCTTGTCAAATATTGGTTTAACAGCTGAGAGAAAACAGTGACATATTTGCAATTTTAAAATTTAATCATGCTCTTTGAATTAAAAATGGACTTCAGAAGGAGAAGGTGGAAACAGTCACTGGGGCTGGGAGAGGAGACTGGGATGTGGGTGTGGGGAGCTGGTCTGAGTCTTTTTCTGGTCCTGACACTCTCTGCAGGCTGGAGAGGAAGAGATGGGGACCAGCACAAGCCCTGAGCACTGACCCATTGGCATTCCAGAGGGTGGACACACGTGAATAGGACAGCAAGGACAGCAGGCTGAGGCTCCGCAGACCTCACAGTGATTTTACTTGCCCACCTCTGTGTCCCCACATCCCAACAGCTCATGTTTCTCTGTTTGCACTGGGTGGACACTCCATTCCATGCCCTCCTAGCCCAGAGGGACTCCAGCTATGCCTCCCCTTGGCTGCCCGGGGCTCACAGATCCTCATACGTCTCTGTCCACTGGGACCAACAGCTGCCCAAGGCAGCAGTGTCTTCCACCCCTTCTCCAAACCCCCAACAGCCATTGCCAGCGGGGAATTACATTTTGAAGGAAAAAAAAATACCTGTTTCTTTTTCGCTTCTTGGAGCTTTTCTTCTTCTTCTTCTTCACAGGTGAAGGGCTGTAGGAGGGAGACCTGAGGGGGGCAGAGAGGCATTAGGTACCACAGGGCTGCTCACAGCCATGCTGGCCACCCCAACACTCACCCCACCACCAGCAGCATCTCCAGGGCGGAGAGCGGCTGGGGGGCTCCTGGCAGGAGCAGGATGATTCCAGGGATGGGCCCAGGGATGAGCCTCAACCCAGCTCTGCTGCCCTGAGGGGAGGGCACGAAGATGGAAGCACCTCCCTGGGATGTGGAACCCCCAGGCCCTCACACCTCCATCTTACACAGACCCAGCTCACACTCAGTTGAGAGCTGCAATCCCCTTCTTCCCCACACACCGCCATGGCCACCCTCACATCCTTCACCAACCCTTTTCCCTCACACCGAGGGCTGCCCTATCAGTCCCCTCACACCGCCATGGCTCCCCCATGACGCTCTTCCCTCACACTGAGGGCTGCCCTGCCCATCTCCTCACACCGCCATGGCTCCCTCATGATGCTCTTCCCTCACACTGAGGGCTGCCCTGCCCATCTCTTCACACCACCATGGCTCCCCCATGATGCTCTTCCCTCACACTGAGGGCTGCCCTACCCATCCCCTCACACCGCCATGGCTCCCTCATGATGCTCTTCCCTCACACCCAACCAAGGGCTGCCCTGCCCATCTCCTCACACCGCCATGGCTCCCTCATGACGCTCTTCCCTCACACCGAGGGCTGTCCTATCAGTCCCCTCACACCGCCATGGCTCCCCCATGACGCTCTTCCCTCACACTGAGGGCTGCTCTACCCATCCCCTCACACCGCCATGGCTCCCTCATGATGCTCTTCCCTCACACCCAGCCAAGGGCTGCCCTGCCCGTCCCCTCACACCGCCATGGCTCCCTCATGATGCTCTTCCCTCACACTGAGGGCTGCTCTACCCTTCCCCTCACACCGCCATGGCTCCCTCATGACGCTCTTCCCTCACACCCAGCCAAGGGCTGCCCTGCCTGTCCCTTCACGCCGCCATGGCTCCCTCACCTCCTTCGCTTCTTGCGGCCAGATTTCTTTTTCTTCTTCTTCCCCCGAGCCGGCAGTGGCCGCTCCACATCGCACGAAGGGCTGATGATGGGGGACAAAATCCAATAAACATTAAAAATAATAAAAATAAACCCTGAAGGGGCTCACATGGGACTCTCTGGCATCCCCACCTCAGGGAGGTGGGGCAGCAAGGTCAGTGTTCATGGTGGGCCAAGGGTGGGGGTGTTGCCTCATTACCCTCTAACGAATTAATTCATCACAGTTTAAACAAACTGTCTAATAGAGATATAACAAGACAGTTCCACCACAGCAATGCTGATTATTTAAAACATGTTTGCTGAGGTTAACGACTCCAAAACAGATTTATAGGTTTTGTTGCTCTTTGTAAATATGCTTTAAATAATTAATTGGCATTTAATTTGCATACAGTAATTATTGCAACCAGATGCATCTAACTATAATAAAGACTTGACATGTGTTAAGTAGCAATTGATTAGAAATATATATGTATTTATTGAGACACTATGGTAATTGAAGGAGATATGCATCTCTTACACAGTTGTTAAACCTTGAAAATAAACCCTCCTGCAAATTAATTTCTTCTTTAAACATATGATGCTGAATTGTGTTATGTTTCAATGAAAAGCAAATACCGTGGTTAATTAATTCAGAGCATTGGGCTGAAAAAAATGACAGATACTCTGTGGCTACTCATTAGCTAAAGCAAATGCTTGTAAAGACAGAGGCAGCTGGTGGTAGCCTGATGGCATCCCTAAATCAGCCCAAATCAGCCATGTGGATCTCCAAACAGATCCACAGGGTCACTCTGAATTCCCAAACGGATAAAGGACCAAGGTTTGTGCAGGTACAGACAGCTCCCCAGGGCCTCTGATAAATCACTGAGGGTGCTGGGTTTGTGCCTCAGTTTCCCCACTTCTCATCCTGCCCCTGGGAATAGCCAGGAGCAAGGAATGGGTGGAAGCAGCCCCATGGCTGGATAATGCTGTGAGATCTTCACTACAGAAACAGGCCAAAAATTGAGCAGTTTTCTGCAGCAAGAACAAACATTATTGCTAATGAAAGTCCTAATGCAGAGCAAACGACACTTTGCGGGGGGGACACTCAGACTCCAGCGCCCCTCAACACTTGATCATCCAGGGCTTGAATTACCACTGAAATTACACTATCATAAAAACTCGATTGCTTACTGCTTTTAACACACTTTGGAAAAAAAAAAAAAGTTCTGCAAAATGAAATTGCAGGCTAATGCTTCAGTTGTGAGCTGTGAATAATGAGTGCTTCTGGTGCAGTAAATCCAGTGTGCAAGCACAGCATGGCCCCATGGAGCACCCACATCCTGCTCCTCCTACGGATTTCATGGATCAGCAACAGCACCATGAGAGGATGTGGCACACCTCGGGCTCAGTGTCCCTTCTACCTCAATGTAGACAGAAATAATGCATTTTCCAGGATGTCTCATTGTCACTAAGCTCAGACACCTGCCCAAAAACACCCAGGGACACAGCTGGGCACCACTACAGGAGAGCAGGGAGCAACATCTGACCATGCAGCCACGGGCGGTTTCTGCAGAGCCCTTCTCCCTCTCCCCAGATAAAGGCTTTTGTCTTTGATGTGGCAGCTTTCTCCCTTGCACTGATCTGACTTCAATTGTTCCTCCGCGATTATAATCAAAGTCTAATTAAAAGTGTGCTTTAGATTATTGTTGTGGTTGGCCTGAAATCTGAAGATATGAAATGTGCTTTCTTGCTCTTTCTTTCCAGCATCTTTAACTGAACGGAGAGGCTTTAATCCCAGAGGCGGTTGAGCAGGCAGGGCTCAGAGACCCCAGCTGCTTCATTTACAGCGTTTCATTCATTTTTCTCCTCTCAAGTGGTCAGGGACTAACGACAAGCTGATAACGAGGCTGTGTCCTAATGAAGGCAGTGCTGCTGAGCTGATCTAGCATGGGGAGAGGGGAATTGCTGAGGGCGATTCCCAGCAGACCTGGTAGTGCAGAGGAGTGCTGGCAGGTCTTGGAAGACTCTGTAGGAGGCTGTAAGAGCAAGCTCTGGAGTAGAAACGAACTGCATGTTTGTCCCTGCAAACTCACACAGGGATTTCATGCCGTTGCACACATTTTTGGGGCACACACTGAGCCAGTGAAGCCACCCCCAGCTCTCACAGACCCCATCCACGGATACTTCCCGTGCCAGCCCCGTGTCCCAGGGTGGCCCCGCTGCCAGCCCTGGCTCCTACCTGCGTGACCTGCGGTGGGCATGGTCCCGTCTGTCCCTCCCCTTGGCACAGCCATTGGTGCTGGTGGGCTCCCTGACCACGCAGCTGCTCAGCTTCTCGGGCCGTCTGTCCTCCGCGGGGTATGGCAGGCAGCTGAGCGTCCCACTGCTGGGGCAAGAGGTGACAAAGAGCCATCAGGAGCTGTCCCCACGTCCTGGGGAATCTCCTTTCCCTTTTGCAGGCAGGAGCTGTGCAGCTGTGAAGGAGAGCTGCAGGTTTCTCTCAGCTCTGTGGTGGGAAGTGCTCCCACAGGCTCTGGAGTGCCCCGTTCCCAAGCCAAGCTGCACCCCAGCCCAGGCATGCCGTGCTCACTGAGGTGCCACGGGCATGGTGCAGCCAAGGAGCGACTGGACAGCACAGGGCCAGATCCAATCCAATGGGAAAGAATAACAGGAGCCAGTCAGGACATCTTCACCTATATTGTGGGGTTTAGATATCACCAGCTCTGCAGAGACAGCATAGATTTTGCACTCTGATAGAAAAAAAAAAAACCAACCAAAAAACAAACCACAACCCTTTCCCATTTCAAATGTAGTTTTCCAAACCTGCTAATGCCTTGATAAAACCTTGCCACACATCCTCATCCTTGACTGGCAGTAAACTTCCTACAAAATAAGGTGCTGGGCTTGTGGATGCACCTGGTCCTGCTGACAGCTCAACCTTGAGAACCTGGGACAGGCCAGCAGAGTTAAGGGGAACCACCTGGGCCAGGTCAGTGCCTGCAAGAGCCCTGAGAGCTGGCAAGGAGCAGAGCAAAGGCAGGGAAAGCCTGGAGGGAGTGATTCCTAAGAAACACTGGGATTTGTGCAAGCTGAAATGGAGAAAAGAAGCCGCTGAATGGAGAAAACAAACCCAAACAAGGCTGCATGCAGACACTCAGGAGGAAAGTAAATAGGTTTCTAGGCCCTGCAGATATTTATTTCAAAGAATGAAAAGATTAATGAAAAGCCATAAACCATACCCAGCAGGGGTGCTGAAAATGCTGGGGTTTAGTGTCATCCAGAGCGTTATGGACTAGATAAAGCAAACGTGGGCATGTCCAGGCCCAACCAGGCTGTGGGGTGATACCCTGAGTAGTCTGGGCTCAGCTGGCACTAAAAGTGTCCTCATTTTAAATCCAATCCCAGGACTGGGCTGTGGGTGCCACTTTAGGGTCAGCTCTGCAAAGCCCAGTGGCTGTGTCTGTCACCAGGCCCGCTTCCTCTCCTTGGAAAGCAACACTCTGGAGCCCTCAGGCCATGTGGATCCCACCAGAGCAGGGGGAGGCTGGGATGTGCCAGCCCTGCAGCTACAGTGGAAGATGCTTTGGCTTCAGAGACCACCACAGCCATCACACATGGGCTGTGGAGACAGGAACAAGGCCCAGGGCCAGGTGTGTGCTGCACATCTGGGGGTTAAGTGGGGGCAAGAGGGTGGTTAAAGAGCAATGGCACCTTAAAAGAGCCCCAGTTAGGCATGGCCAGAGCCTTGCATGCCCCAGGAAACATCCTGCTGCCTGCCTCAGCCATGAATAACATTCCTTGGGGTTGGAATTGGCACAGGAGCACCTGCAGGAGGGTCACCCCTCTCTTCCCTCCTGTGTTTTCTCTCTCAACAAGCATCCACTTTCTCTAATAGCCATCTCCTCCTTGGGGCCCATTTTGTAATGCCTTAACATTTAAAAATATGCACAGCCAAATAAAAGGGACAGAGATCAGTGTGGGGACAGTGGGTGAAATGTTTCTGGCCCAGAACATGCAGGAGGTCAGTAGTCCCTCTTGCTTTAAAAAGTCTGTTTTTAATAAATCCCCCAGTTGCTTCCCAACATCTCCATTGTTTTTAACCATCCGGGAAGCTACATGGTTAATCATTTTCTGTGTGCCAGCTAATTGGCTTGTGGCCTTTCCCAAACCCCTTTTAAGAACAGCCTTCTGAGGCTCAATCATTAGGATCAATTAAAAACATCCCCCAATTAATGACCTGTGCAAAGTCTGAGCTGGATGCACTCCAGCAGCAGAGGCAGGAGGGATCCTCCCCAGGCTGGCAGCGGGCTGGAACACCACTGCCAGGACCTGGACACATCCGTGTTCACCCAACCTCTAATGGGATTTCCAGGTCCTGGGGTTAAAACATATTGGCCTCGAGGCAATCAAGGACTCCTGTCCTGCAACGTGCCAGGAACCATTTCTTCTGGGCTTGGGAGTAATTATTGATGGAAATAATTATTCTCTGATTCCATCAAAGGCTGGCTTCCATTCAACCAAATGTTCTCCTCTGATGGATGCTGAGAGTCACTAATGCTTTAAACTGGCTGGTAATCCCCTGGCGTGGTGCTCCATAGACATTGATTGAATATATATATATATATATATAAAACACTTCCTTTTCTTATTGTCTTTCGTGTCTTTCATGACTGATATAAAAGTGATGCAGTTTGGTGTGAATGATCTCTGTGGCCTCAGAGGAGGGATTATCACACCTTCCCTGCTGTTTGTGCCTGCAGCAGAAAAGAAGAAGCCTCTGTGGGTGTTTTTGCTGGAGCTGGCCCAGGGAGAGCAGCGGGGATGCTCAGCAGGATGCTGCTGGGAGCACGGGACTCACTCAGCCCAGGGGCTGTGCCAGAGGAGGCAGGAAGAAGAGGAGAAGGAGGGATGCCCTGCTGGGGAGGCAGCACTGCTCCAGCACTCCTAGTGAGGAGCATGGCCTCTCTCCCCAGTGTGCTGGTTGCATGTTTGTCCCTAAGAATGCACTCACTCCTGGCCATGGGCAGTCAGACCCGGACAAGGCAGCTGCCCACCCATCCCACCTGCCCTCCAAGCTTCTCCATTTCCACTTGGCAATTCAATCACTTGTTCTCATTTTTCTTTTCCCTTTCTCTCTCCTGTGCAGCAATCCAGCCTATCCATCAGACCTGTCCAGAAGCAGCACAGCTGCTCCTGATGGGAGATCCCCCACAGCAGGGCACCTTTGGGCTGCCTGCCACCCACTCAGTGCAGAACATGCCCTGTGCAACACCCACCACAGCTGGCTCATCCTGTCCCTTCCCATTCCAGTGGTGTCTCGTCCAGGAAGGGGTTTTGGGCTCATGGCAAATTTTGCCAATGCCGCAGTGGCTGGAAGAGAAGCAGCAGGCACACAGTGCCCTCAACTCTCTACCAGCACAAGCCTCTCACAGCCCAGCTTGCCCACCTGCACACTGTGGTGTCAGATTTGGGCTCTCACACGTATTCCCTCCCTTAACAGAATGTGTTGGCAGCAGAGGGTCATGATCTATTGCCTACCCCAATACAAATAATGCAGGAAAGGTCAGTGGTGGGAAGGAACCCAAACATTCCTTATTTGAAGGCAGATGAAACCACCATAAACCACTATGGCCACATGGAGAAGGGATGGGTGGCTCTTTGCTGCTGGCAGTGCCCTGAGGCCAACCCACTCTTCCTCCCTTGCCTGGGGAAGGGATGTCACCCCCAGTGTGTGGGGATACCATGGAGACCAGTTAATGACTGCCCTTGCCCACAGGTAGGTCCTGCCACTGCCCACAGAGGATGGGACAAAGGCACAAAGCGTTTGCTGCCTCAGGGAGCAAACTCCCAAGCCATGCCCATCCCTCCATCCTGGGCTGCCATGGCCAAATGCCATCTCATCAGGCCATGAAGTGTGGCACTTGGTGACACACACTGCTCGGGGAGATGAGCCCAGTGACACCCGTGCCCCCCAGCCCCTCAGTGACAGCAGCCAGGGGGGTTTGCTGTGCACTTGGCATTCCCTGGGTGCTGCCATCCCGGGCACTGCCCTCCCCTGCCCACAGGCTCCCGTGTCCCAGCCCAGCTCCCCTGGCCCTGAGCTGTCTCCTGCCACAAACCTTCCATCAATCAGCCTTTTCCCCGCAGTAACTCATCTCAAGAGGAGACAAAAGCAGGAAAATTGTCTCCCCAGTGACTGACAGGGGAGACAATTCAGCTGCCAGACCGTGGCACCAGACCATCTCCCCAATCAATTGGTTGTCCCTCACCTCCATGGGATGGACCCCAGCAGTTCCAGCCATCAGTGGCCTTGTGCAGCCCCTGTGTCCTTCCCAGCTGCCCTGCAAGCAGCAGTGTAAGCAAACTGGGGCGGGACCATGCTAACCAAGCAGTTTTTGGGGAAATTTTTATCCTTTATTTTCCTTGGCACATGCAGCTGGTTTGGGTGCTGGATGCATAAGCACTTCAGAGGCCCTGGGCACTGAGTGCTCTTGGCAGACCTGCACTGGCAGCACTTCCAAGGTCAGAAGATTTGGGATAGGCAATACAGAAACTTTACTACATTCTCTGCTTCAGCCCTAGCTGGCTTCATGTTCCCATCATCTCTACACCCCTCAGTGAAAAGGCAGGAGCAACTTCAGCCAAGCAAACCCCCCAGACAAAAAAGGCTAAAACATCTCTGATGAGCCTAAAAGCTGTGAATGTTTCACTGGCATTACATGATGAAGGATGGACACCTTGCCTGGAACTGGGAACATCAGGACATGGCATCCTGAGGGGAGGCTGGAGAAACTCCTGTGCCTGTAGCTGCTTGCACCAGGGATGCTCTTGCCACTTCTCCTGAGTAACATGACAGGTGACAGAATATCCCATCCTTCCTCTCCTTTCCTCACCTGGAGGTTTTGCCCTGCAAGAGAGGGCAGTGGTGGGCCAGGATCCCGCTCTCCCACATCCCTGCACTCTGCCACAGCCACATCACATGTGCTTCTGCCCTGGACTCTAGTGAGGGTGATCTGAGCTGCTCAAAGCATTTCTAAAATCCACCCTTTGGGCTGAGAAGCCTTTTGGCACTGGCAAAATGAGCCTGTGATTTTCTCTTTCTGGGTTTATCTGATTGCAAAAGAAAATGATCAGACCATTCCCTTGTCCCCCAACAAGGAGGGGGCAAAAAGACTGTTGTAAAGACATTTCCCAGCAAAAACTCCAGCAGATGTGTTTATGTAAAGCTCTTTGAAATACGCACTAAAAATACCTCTTCAAAATTAGGAGATGGGGAATATTGTGAGTGCTTCCCACAAGCACACACATACACACACAAACACCCATGGCAGGTTCTTTGCCCACCTCATTCAGCCCCTTATTATTAGTGCAGCAGGAGCCCTGCAG